TGCGCTTATCACAGTTTGATTCTACTGCTAGTACCCATTATAAGGTGTTATTTTGAGTTTTTCAATCTAAATCCAAGACTTATATCTCAATATACTCGGAAGAAGAAATCAAAGATGCAAATAAAAAAGTTTGTGACTCGTTGTAACAAGTAACCTCACTTGATGGGATTCCTTAGAACTGTTTAGTACTTTAAGGTTAGTTCAACATACAAAAAAAGAAAAAAATTTTGTGCTGAACCAGAAAAAAAATAATTGAAAAATCAGGCAAGACTTGAATTTTAGAATTTGCTATTGACTATAAAAAAATTTTTGCGACTTATTAGTCATAAAGAATTTTAGTTTGAAGCTGTTTCAAAGTCCTGTCAATAAGCAAAAGAGCATTAGGTTGCGGCACATTATAAATACAGTGACAAGTAATCAGAAGTAAGTTAGCGAATAAGTTAATAGAAAATAAATACATAGAGCATTTTTCTGGTTCAAAACCAGTACTGACAAAACTGGCAAATTTAGAAATATATAGAAATCTTTACTTAGTTAAAGGTTTTAGTTTTAAGTGCAGTTAAGGTTTTGATTTATCTAGGTTTCTTAAATCTATCTCTTTGAATAATAAGCGAGAGAGTTAAAACGAATTTTTCGGAAACATTATTTACATAACTGGTTGGGCAGTGGTCATCTCAAACTAGGTAACTAAAATAAATTAAGTGCATAAATACGCACATACCGAAAGTTTTTTAGAGTTTATGCATTTCACATTCTTAAACTACTTCGCACGTTATTGTGTCAAAAAGCTGAAAAAAGTGGCATAGGTGTCACCTTTCTTTTTTTTCTTTTATCAGCAACAGAGCATAGCAGAAAAAATTTAAAACTCAGAGTTTTGCAAGTAAACAGAGCGACAGAAACGAAGAATGAAAAGTTAAGAGGCAAAAAGAGCAATCAAGAAACGATTTGTCAGAATTTGAGGTACATCAGCATGATAAGAACGCAGAACATCAGTGATATAATGTACTGCTTGAACTTTCAGAACGTTTAGAATGAAACGTAGTCAATTAAAAATCTCCTGCTTCATTCAAACAAAATTTTTTGTCTTTGCGGTTTCATCTCTCACTCGTAGATAGTTGCCTTGGTATCTCAACTTTTATATTTCTTGCAGGCTTGTCTTTTGCTAACTTCTGGAAGATCAGTAACCTTCGAAGATTCACTTATGAATTTTTATTTACTGTTTTTCTGTAATATTTTACACATTTTTCAAAAATACTAAAATTATTGGATGGGGCATCGTTGACATGTCGATGGGCACTTCTCTGTCATTTTGTTGTACGACGACACCGAGTTGCATTGCTTCTGAAAATAGTTACAGAACAAAAACTGCTTTTCAACTGCAGCAAAAATGATTAGCGATTTATTGCGCTACGGTAGCTGATATCAGCAAAATATTTTTTTTCAAGAAATTATTTAAAAATTTCTAATTACCTCGTTTTTTAAACAGAATTTAGAATCTTTGTCCTTGCAAAGATCTTTGTTTTCTCCACCAACAAATTTGCCACTTTTAGAGCTGCAGAGATCACAAGTTTTACCGCAGTGAATTTCCATTTGATTCACAAATCGTGGATTTGAGCAGTAGCCATTCGCATACAAGGATCGGCAGTTCAGTACTCTTGTATCTTCACAACTAATTTTTGGACTTTCCTTACACTTTCCACAAGTTTGTGAACACTTCTATAAAGCGAATACATTGAAAAAAAAATAAAATTTGCAATTGCAGCGTTTCTTAACTAAAAGTAATTGGTAATTTGATAAAAATATAAGTTAATTACATTGTAGGACACTCGTGTTGACTACGAAATCAAACAGAAAACTAAAACAGAAGTTAACCTACTGCAGCAGCGTTCGCATGTGACAAATAATTGCATTTTTTCTGGTCGCGAAAGATCGTTTCACATTCGCCTGGTGTCAGTATATCTCGGCACTGTTTTGAGGATGGTATTGTAGCTGAAGTATTCGTGAAGATGAATAACAACATAATTGTCAAAAGATACATCTGAGGCATCGTTGAACA